GCTGCATAATGACCGCTCAGATTTCGCTCTTAGCCAATCAGAGCGCGCGTTATATCGGCCACAAGCCAAAGCCATATAATAATAGTTAGTAACGGTTCTACTAAATTAAATTGAAAGTATAAAAATCAAGTTTAAAATACTTCAGAAACACCTCAGAAAGTCAATCTTCTGGAACTTTTCTCTAGCGGAAAGAAGTGTGTTTTCTTGTTAAGACTTGAACAGCTTCGATTTCTCACCTGGAAGAATATTCTTCTTAAGAATACGGACGTACTTATTCCTGTCCGGCCGACTGTGCTCGTGAAAGAAGCCGACAGCGTGGCCCAACTCGTGGATGATATTTCCTACTTTACACCTCAGAGCTGGGCTACCTATAGTCAGTTTCTGGCTTTTATCTCCACCGCGACCCACTCGAGAAGCGCAACTAGAAATAAATAAGAAAATAAATACGATCTGATTGGCAAAGCTTGAGAAAAAGAAACTTCGGTAATAGAATGAGCTAGAATAAAAAATCAAAACTCGACATCGTCAAAATGTCATTTATATCAAGTTTCAAAATTCGATAAGAACAGTAAAAGTGCATTGATCGTTGTGTTTCTGATTTAACAAGACCTACGCTCCAGTTTTTCACCAACTCCATCTTACTGATTCCTTTCTGTGGTCAATCATGGTCAAAACTGGTACTGAAGTGCGACTGCCTTAACGTCCATTTTGACAACTGCATGTTTTCACCTTCAGCGGCTAAACTGCTTCAGCTTCAGACTTCACCGCTTTATTTTACCTCGGAGGGCCTGTACGTGTTGTAATGTTTTGTTGTCAGCAAAAGTGGCCTTTGTTAAATCACCTACCCTCCTTCAAAGACGAAGTTGATGTATCCTAAATCTTCAGGCGGATTCTTGACGCGTTTAAACTTGAGACAAGTGTGCTTCTGCCAATGACGCATAGCTGCACGAGCTCGTCTTCTACCTATCCTATCTTCAGAGATAAAAAAGAACACATTTAGTGACAAACGGCTGGTCATCCCAACATGTAGATAAAGGACTAACTAAATAGTTTCACTGAAAGTGCATTTAATTAAAGCGGAAGAAATACTGAAAAGTAACGTTCGGGGAATAATTATCACAGGGCAGAATAACTTTACACACACACATACCTACTCCTTTATCAAAGTTATAGTAGACTTTAGCTTTCGGCCAAAGGTACATTTTGTCTTTAATAAGGGCCCGTTTGATGCCAACTTGTGTGTCGTCGGCGTTTTTTATCTTATCCAGAAAAGCTTGCTGGTCTGGTGTTAACATCATGTCTCCTTCAAAGTAGTCTTTGCCTAAGTTCTCTTCGCCTGCAGAACAACAAGACGTTTGTTATATTACATTTTATCCTTGACACTAAAATGGAATGGCTGTGAGTCGTTAGCTGAACAAAGGTAAAACAATAAGAAGGAAACATCTAAAGGTCGTTAGCATTCAATTTTATCCTGCACTTTTCATTTCCTGGTAGCTGTAGATTTGGCCGATGACAAGAGACACTGGTTCCTGGGAAAATAGCAGCATAATTGGAAGGTAAAATGCACAGCTGTTGTTTGAGTCAATTCTAATGATCAAAAGTATATTAACATGCCTATTTCGTCATTGTCCTGTTGTTGAACCGAATCTTCTTCTTCTTGAGCGAGCGTTGCTCTATCCGTGGCCAGTTGATTTGGTGTTTCTGGGGCACTCACAGGTGTACTGACATCTGTATCACAAGGAACGAAAAAGCGAAAAAAAAAATGCATATAAATAAATGCATAAAATTAAACCGGACGTTAAAACTGTCGCCAGCTTGGTTGTCCTCAGCATGTTATCTCGATTTGGTCACTGCCAGCCTCATGTTCTCGTCTAAAATAAAACGTTTATTCGTCAGTGATCATAACTGGTGACTGTAGCTAAATTTGGCGTAACTTGCAATTAGCAACTTTAGGGTAAGGCGTTTGCTGCTTTAGACTGATCTGAAGATATAACAAGGAATCGGGATTCATGCAATATATTTAATTAATGAACCACTTTGAAACGCTTACCTCGGGAGTAAGGTAACATATCGCCTTCATCGTCGTCTCCTTCCAATATATCTTCCTCGTCTACTCTGTAAGCTTTGCGCAACTGAGGTTTAAGCTGATTTTCTTTAAAGACCATCGACCTAGAGTCGGCCGTGGCATGCTTGATTGCCTTTTCACTGGTTTTAGCTTGAGTGAACGTTTTTGGGGTCGTTTTGCTCTTCAAGATCGTATGTAGATGGCTACTCTTTTTCTCTGTTTTGTGGGATGTAGCGTCCTTTTTCACAGATACCTCTGCATTTCCACTGTGCTTTTTGTGCTTATGTTTCTGCACCTTACTTCTTAGCACCTTGACCTCATGTTCACGCAGTGGTCGTTCCCATAATTCGTTGTCTACAGAGTCTTGTTTCGTTTTCTTTTCTTTTCTTACTTCATCCCGGTAATCTGAACAACAAACATGTTGAGTTGTTTTCATAATCATACGACACTAAGTGAGGGTAAACTACTTACACTGAAGTGTTAAAACGTTGAGAGTATAGTGATCATTGACGTATTATGAAAGATCCAGCAAACTTATAACCCATACTTTTTTAGTTATAAATGCGCTCATTAATTAGAGCTATGGTAACGTAAAGAGGAATAATTAGCTTAAAAATGCAGTTGTGTCAATTTATTATGCGCATGGGCTACATGCAAAAAATTCGTTACTCATGACCTAGCCATGGATGTAGGTCAGCACTAGTAACATCACCTTCGAATTTCGACAATTGTCGCCAGAAATGATTAGGCATCTATCTTCAAAATTTTTTGAAATAATCTTCGGAGAATTTCAGAATCTTAGAAAGTACGACACGCGTCGGTCATCTTTTGGTTTCTTTGGGGATATTTAGACAGCTATCTTAGGTAAAATTCTCGGGAAAAGATCGAACTAACTTAAAATTGGAAGATCCTTCGGCAGACGTTTGCAACCTCTGAAATATTTGGTGTTCGTTACGTTGATCAAAATCGTTTGCATGAGATTCAGGGAGCCCTCAGAAGATAAATGAGAAATTTGTACAATTATCTTATTAGTAAGGCGTTTTATTTTGTCATGCAAGAGGCGATGATATAGCTCAATGACATAGGGTGCGTTCTTTAGGAGTGATCAGGATCAGGATCAGTGATCCAAGATCACTCGGATCATGGTGCATCAAAGGAACCGATGATCCGTCACTAGAGTGGATTCATCGGTTCCTTTGATGCACCATGATCCGAGTGATCTTGGATCACTGATCCTGACCCAGATCACCTCAAAGGAACGCACCCATAGTCTCTTGATTTTGTTTGTGGGTGATTGTTTTTGCCGCCTGGACATGAACTCCACACATCTTCCCGCGCTATTTAGGCAAACGCAAGTTACTATTAAAATAACAGGCTTAACGAACATCAGAAGTCGAAACCACAGGGAATTCCTGTTTTCTAGTAAAATTTCACTAGCTACTAATAGCAATTTTAAGTGAAACGGCCATACCCGGACATTGATACAGCAAGTTCCCTTGTTGAACATCTAGGTCGCTAAGGCCGATCCTTTGACCAATGGTTGCTGTGGTTGTTTGTGTGGGCTCCAGAGTTCGTAAACCTTGTTCTCTAGTAAAGAAGAATTCCCCGTAGTGCATAACAGAGCCATAGTCGTAACCCACTTCGAGAGAGTCGACGGTTTCAGTAGTTTCTTTTTCGAAGTTCTTTTGATAACCTGGTAATAAAACATTTATATACAGAGAAATGAGTTACGTTGTTATGTTAGTATATTTATTTAAATGCATTTTTTTACATAGTTTTGTATGGTTTATTGCACTGTAGAATTTCTTTTCTGTACATAAAAGGAATGAAAAAAGCGACAAAAGTCGCGTTTTTCTAGTCATCTGAAATTGTTAAAGTAATTNCACGGAGTTAGTTTTTCTCTTTCTACTGCTCTTATTTATCTGTCTTTCTCTTATTTTGTCTTTGCTTGTACTTTTTTTTGCTTTGCATTTTGTGAAACACAAAAAAAACTTCTAAAACGTAAGCAAATTTGCAAGTTTTTGAGTTGTTATTATTTTCAAGCTGACGTAAGTAACCGGAAGTGAAATTTCACCTCCTTAGCAACGCGCGCGAGCGCGCGCATGAATCGGTTAATGGGCCCTTAATTAGTTGATAATGTTAAGCTGCTTTTCTTTAATATGTTATCGCTCTACCTCAGTGTGAAGGTGAAGAAAAAAAGAGAAGTACGGTGAAAGCGCGGTAAGCGTTATTGTATGGCAATTCACATAGGGTAACTAACTCGGATTACAAATTCCAGTCCAAAATTCATCAGAATTGACTCATGTGCCGAATGAAAGTCAACTGTCTAAAGACAGACAAACTTACTTTTGTGACTCTCAAGTGCCCGTGTACTCACCGCCTTCAATATTGTCCCAGTGAACAGTGACGTAATCATCACGATCCGGTCGACTGTGTTCGTGAAAGAACCCCAAAGCATGCGCAATTTCATGCACGATGTTACCATGTTTACAAGTAATTGAGCCATCTGAGTTTCCTACTGAAATTGTCTGTCCACCGCCAATACGTCCTACATATGACGAACATCTAAAAAGTACAAAAAGAAGTTATCATCCACTAGTGATCAAATTTTGCGTTTTGGTACAAGACTAGAAATTGTTTAGTTTCATCTAATTTTTGCCTGTCTGTTTTTCTTCCTGAAAGCAGACTTGCTCACGCGAACTTCCTTCCAGGTCTTAGGTCACTCTGTCTTTCTGTCTGCCTCTTCACAGTGGTAACCGTGAATTCTTTATCGCCGACTGAATTTCACTATCGAACAACACGCTGGATATGGATCATTTACTTAATGTCATTCTTATCGCGTGAATACTTGGAATGGCGAGTGATTTGCTGAGTATAGCTAAACTTCAATTGCATTTTAGCTTGGGAAGATATGGTTGCTAAAGTTGTCGCTCTAATGATACAAGATTGAATAAAAAAGATACCCCTTCATTAACCTAATGAAGAAAATAATTTGGTCCGGTGTCTGAATGGTTCACAATGTTAAAAGATATACTATATGTTTATTGGGAAGCTGCATAATTATACTCGAAGCTTCGATCTCACCATATATGGTTTTGTTTTGTCGCGACTGTATATGTAATATATAGTGGTAATTAATGTGAGCATTATTGACGCAAGAGTCGTCGTTTCGTTTCTTTTAATTTTATTGACTATTCCCTGGCTTAGGTAAAACAGGGCTTCAGTTTTGCTATCCATTCTCTACTTTTAGAAGTTACATAATGTGATAAGTCGTACGTACCCTACCTCGTAGACAAAATCTATGTAATCTTCGTCAGCATCAGTTTTCGGTCGGAACGTAAGGCAAGTTTTACTGCTCCACTCAGCTATTGCTGACTGTATGTAACCACGTGTTTCAGCGCCTGTAGTCAAAGCAATAATGCACAGATGTACCTAACACCTTCTGTAGAGTAATGATTAGTCAGCACCATTAATGAGGGCCTCAATGGGCTTAGCCGTAAAACGAGATACAAATTTAGCTGTTAGGCGTAAAAAAAAAAAATCCCAAAAATTCAAACATTAGCCATAAAAAATAGTAACCGTAATAACATTCTCAAACCCGAAAGTGAAAGTATCAAGGTATCTGGTCAAGACTTTTTGTGTCTTGTTTCCGTCTACAATCCTTATGATAGTACATTTGTCCGTCCCAGAATGGTTCTAAGACCATAAATTTGTTTTACAGTAATCAAAATAATTTTTTGACTTTTTTAAGCAATGAAAGTTGATTTTTTTTTTAAACTTTTTAAAACAATGGTAATAAATTTCTAAGATTTCAGTTAACCGCAAGGAAATTGAAGTAACCTTTGACCGTAAAAAAGCCAAAACATTAACCGCTAGCCGTAAAAGCCACTACCCCATTGAGACCCACATGAATCTCTGCACAAGCGACTTCTGCACTCGCGACTTGTATGGCTGGATATCAATTGAATGAATTATTGCCATCTAACAGAGTAAAACAAAACAACAACCAAGCAAAAAGCCGTAGATTTTCACATGGCCTGTTCCCATACAGGTCAAGTTTTACTCCATTGACTCTTATTTCTCCTTCGCCCAGAGGATTGGACCCCTAAAGATGTTTTTCACCTCCCCATGGCCATACCCTGGGGATTACCATCCCCTAAAGCCAGGATTGCCACCGCACACTCACAGTGGCCCAATGTCTTTCTTTGGAGTACTTCTGCTCTCATCCCTTTTTCCCACGATTATTCTGGGACTAGACACTAGGTGTTTGTAGTAAAGATTACGTGTTAGTAGCTTAAATTGGAGCCTGTGATACGTGGCATGCTTGGCTGCAATAAGAGAAGAATTCGTGCAGTAAAAGAATGCAATGCATGGGTGTTTGGAATTTACAGGGTAGAGAATAAATAGTCAAAAACAAAACAAAACAAAACAAACATACGAAATAATCTTTAAAAAAGGCTACATCTTTGTTTGGTATTTTTCTTTTTTTGCTATCAAGTCCTTTTAGTGTCAAGTTGTTATGTAGCTACTTTGTAAGTTTCCCAGATTATGTTGAGTAGCTGCTGCGGCTCTAATAAGCTGTGGGGCGCTATCCATTCAACCACAATTTCCGGAAATTTCGGTCTAAAACTGAATGGATCGGCTCGGTCCAACCAGAAAAGTTTCGAAAAAGCTGGTCCACCTTTCGAGGTGGTCCACTTTTCTCGGTTGGACCGGTCCGATCGAAATTGACCTTTCCATTTGACCTTTCCGACCCATTCTCAATCCCAGTACCTCGCTGTTCGGTACCTTCCATGTTCAACATGGAGGAAAACACTTATCATTGCAGCTTTTATGGATTGTTAACAGCGGATTTATCGGTGCTACTCGTACATCCATGTGCAGTAACAACAGTTACGTAGCTGTGTTACGCCTTTTTGTGTTTTGGCTGTTAAAAACGGTCTATACAATTTACCGAGAGAATTTCGAATGTTCTTTTCCTTATTCGAAAGTGGTGTTTGAAGATCGTTGAACTCAACCGGCACATATCTGGGAACGGTCTGCTCAAAACAGCCAATTATACGGGTTAAATTTCTACCCATGAAACAGCTCGCACAATATCATTGATAAAATCGAAATCGTCATCTAGTTCTGACACGAGCAACAGTGATCCAACATCCGCCATTTTAAATGAGCGCGAAAGTCTTTTTGCGAGTAGGATGGAGCAAGACCTACCGGACCCATCGCGATCCATTTGCCCCCAAGAAAATTTCGAACCTCAGCCCGGAAATTTTGGTTGAATGTATCACGCCCTAAGTCTCGGTTGCCTCTGGTGGTACTGATCTCGTTTAAACTTTCTTTCTCCTAGCATGTGTCACAGCCGCCCTCATTGCAATAACTTTTAACATAAAATCGTTACATTTGCTACTTACTCAGATCGTCAGCAAGCGAATATGGAACCACTTGGTTGGGCCACAATTTTCTCACATCTTTTATAAGAGCTCTTGTTTGGAGGTTGCCCCCTTCTCGGGTTGATTTTATATAATCTTTCAGCTGCTGAGTCAGTTTAATGTCTCCTTCAAAGTAGTCCATTCCCTTGTTTAACTCGCCATATGTTGCTGAAAATCAAAAGTGCAAGTCCATAGAAAGAAACCTTCATAAATCAGTCACATAAGGGAATGGTAACCCTTAAACAGCCTGAAATAATTCTACTTTCGCATTCTCTATTTCCCAGTTGCCCATAATTCACTCGGTTTGCCCCCCAAATTTTGCATAAACTATTGTTGTGAAATGGTCTTGGGAATATGCAGACCTCCCAAGAACAGTTTACAACAATAGTTTATGCAAAATTTGGGGGTAAACAGAGTGAATTATGGAGAATAAGAATGTTGCAAGAGTTGATGTTGGAAGAACTATATCGTTGTACAAATAAGAGAGCAATGAACACCGTACCGTTCATGGTATATCAGGTGAGGTAGTATTCAAACTAGAAAAATCAGTGACCGATCTGATGACCCTAATAATTTCACATTTATGTTAAAAAATCTAGAGCTCCTCAATACCAGTCTTCTTATGCAGCTTCGATCATTTTAACTACGGCGATAACGACATAATGATGTCAGCGGCGGAGATGTTGTTAGTACTGGTGGTGGTTATGATCGTCGTTATGATCAAAACAACGAAAACCCTTTCTTTTCTTTTATGCATTGCATTGAAGATGAAAAGATATCATCATTACCTTCCACTTCTTCATCGTACATCTTCAGGGTTGTTGGGTCTACCACCCGGTTTGGATCTGTAACACTGTTTGCAACGCTAAAATCTGACGGAGAGGACAAAGTTACGTCGTGTTGTGTTGCTATGTAAAAATTTGCTTTTCTAGAACCCACGAGTATATCGTACTGTTCGATTGGACAAAAAGAATGCAGTATATATGCATTGTTACATTGTGTTAGCTTAGGACACATCGTCAGCGGTAACTTAAACCAAAGTCAATGTTGATCTATGGTGTTTCGATCGATAAGGTCGTTAGACACTTTTCCCATGACATTTTACCCCCGATGTCATTTGTGACAATTCCAGGCTCTCAATGTGATTTAAGTGTGTTGGTAGAAGACAACAGTTACTCAAATTGCATTCTTTGTCACCTTTACAGAATGAGTTTTTCTTTCCTATTGTCAGGTTGTTTTCTTTTTCTTCGTCTCCTTAGCTAAGTTCTTGTAATTGATAGTTTATGTCATCAGTAAATAGTTGGTAGGCCTTTTGATAGTTTATTTGACAAAAGTCAGTGGGATTCTAATCATAAGTGACTCCAATTGCTAGAGGGGTGTTTCCTCTCGGCTAGCTAAATTTCGACACGTGAATAAAGTTTTTGATAGATAGATAGATAGATAGATAGATAGATAGATTGATTGATTGATTGATTGATTGATTGATTAAAAAGGAAAAATTATAAGAAAGACAAAAGTGTGGCGCAAAGCTTTATTTCGAAAATTGTTGTGTTTTTGTTGTTTGCAGTCCAACTCATTCCCTTCCTCTCCAAAATATGAATCTTAAATTCCATTATACATCCCATAGACACTACTGACAACATCATCTCGTCCATAATTAAACTCCAGCCTCATTAAGGTCAATGAACTTTTACTAAATGAGCAAAAACCAGCTATGCGCAAATAGAGACACCGTTCGAAATAATTTCTCGTTTGCTAACTTATCTTTTCTGTTTTCAAGCTAACTTCATTTTAATAAGTTACCGAACTTAACAAAAAGACAAATTTAGTTTGTCAGATCTTTTAGGCTTGGCAAGTAAGAATCTCAGTTCGTTAAGTCCATTAAGTATGTACTTAATTAAGAAGTTCTTAATGTTACCCGGAACACTGCTTACTCTTCTTACCTCTGCATATGAACAGCTGTAGTATCAATAGAATGACATGGAGGTCGAAACCTTTCATCCTTACTATCTAAGTCACTCTAGATGTCTTTAAAAAAATAACAAAAGAAATATGGTTTATAATCTTGAGTTTCTAAATTAACCACTATATGAAAGTTTTAGCTGTTACATTTTAGACCAGTCGAGGTAGAGTGTCGACATAGGCATGTGGTCCAATTTCAGTAAGTAAGTAAGAGACTTCATTTTATGAGGGTAACACTCAAGTCTTAATATGTCACAATTGCACAGAAAACTGCTATGTAATAGTTACAATTTATCATATATGACAGGGAAGAATACGTATCCTTTTACGAACATACGAATCTTGAACATGATTTTTGAAATGAATATAGTGTAAATTTAATGTTAGTCGTTTCGACATAAACTTCAAGCAAACCGTTATCACGCTGCGTGCAGACTAATCGGAGTGCTACTGAATTAGGTTAACATTAATCCAAGAGTGGTATTCAGGCTAAACTGAATAGTAACCGTGACGTCGACACTTAGAACTCATAACTCAAACTCATGGGATTGACAATCACACAATGATAGCAGAAACTAGTTATCAAACCTACTTATCAAAAAAAGTATGTATGTATGTAGTTCTATTCTGTGTAATTCGGCGCAAGCAAGGTAACAGTGGAGTCACACAGTTTGTCGCGCCCTTGGCAAGCACTATAAATCACTTTAGTCTACATGTATGAGCAGTAGGATTTATAGGAAAATGTATTAATGAATGATTTCTTTGGCTAACACCCTGATCTTTTCCAAGGAGCAAAAGATTCAACAAGATATGTGTTGAGAATGATTTCCCCTTTTTAGCTGTATTTTACATGTATGGGCCCTTAGCAATGCGAAAAATGAAAGACAAACAAAGGGGCTGGTACCAAATGATGCTCAGAAACACAGCATGTTGGATATCACGAAACTAATTAGCAAAAAAAAAAAAAAAAAGATATTTGAATTTGTAAAAGAGCTACATTTTTATAAACCAATCAGGATGAAAAAATGCCAAAAATAATTCAATTAGCCCTATAACTCATTTTGATCTGTCGACGTTTTTACGGGTATGTTCTTGGTAAGGCTAGACATAAGTAAGCAACCTAACAACGAGGAGCCGTTATTATTGTTGAACCCATATTTTACGTAGAATAACTTGTTCTTTTCTGGTACTAATTCACGCAACTACTTAATGTAGTTGTGAAGCTGTTTTGGTCAGCGAAGTTCGGTCATTACGCAAGATCATGATCAGTCATATCAACGGACGAGGAAGCTGTTAATAGTGACAACGAAAGAAGGCTACTTACATGTACCTTGTAAACAGAGTCAAGTTTCCCTGCTACTCCGTTTTAGGGGCAGTTTTGAAACGCCAATTTCCCCTCTCGTCGTTTTTTCTTCAAAGATGGTCTTCTCGTGAATAAAAGAGAGCATATGGAGCGAGCAACGACAACTAACCTTATTGGTCGATTTGTAATGTTGTTAGACAGGTACTCGTCCACGGTTGAAATCACTAATGACAGGTATTTTATTTCTGGCCCTGAAATTTAACCTTAATTGTTTTAATCGTGCAAGGAATCGAAAACATTTGACTGACGGCATTTCCTTCAATTCCTTAGAAGAATGAGAAAACAATGCTAACGAAGAAGGACCAATCTTTTTTGTTTTGGTTTGACGGCATGAGTAGCAAGGCCGTAGGCCCATGAAGACAAGGCACAAAGTTCAAGCTTAGCGAGGCCAGAAGTAGATATCAGTTTTTCTCTTGAGCGAAATTTGTTTTGCGCCGCGACCAACAAAGCCGGTGCAGTGCAATTATCAATATACCCAATGCAGGAAAAGTACCCTTTTGAGGCCGAATATCATTTGACTTCTTGCAGTATCGTACGGTGCCAAGAAACGATCTAACAAGCTAATTCGACAAGATTTAAATACTTTTTGTCTCTATACCTCAATATAACTGCCAAATTTGTAGGCCTATCGCATCTGGAGATTTTCATCCATCTTTGACTATACAAATTTAACAGATTTCTTTATCTTATCTGGTTGATCATTGAGAACATGACTTTTCATGACTTTTTTCCGGCTGGACAGTTTATTTTCTAAAATACATTTGACATCTTCGTTCATAGAAAAAAGGGCCAAACTTTGTAAATAACAACAGTTTTCTAAAAACTATGGCTCTTTGCCATACATGTATATATATATTGAAGTTGATACACTAAGTTATCAGTGGCTTTGCGATTTTGTCAATTTTCCACATCGTTCCTGATTCACCCTTTCGTGATTTGATGACAGTCCACTGTTTCCGTCGCTTCTCTTGTGCAGCCATTTATTAAAACATTGAGAAATGTGTCCAGTGCCAGCTTATGGTCACTTTGTTTCCTCCATTTTCGAATCTGAAATCAAAACCAATAAAACGAAATGTAATGACCTTTGCCATGCTTTGTATAAACCACCTTCAAATAATACCATTTCGTTGCGCCCGAATTGAACTGACTTGCCGCCCAGTCAACCTCAATTTTCCGTCTACTGGCGTGGTGGACTGTTCAAAACATACAGTAGAACGCCGCCTCACAGCCACCTCGTTAATACGGCCACTTTATTTTGGCCCACACAAAAGCTCACTCAGTCATTTTTTTTTTTTATGTAAAGAACCCCTTATGATAAGGCCACCCTGTTAATACAGCCAGACTTTTGTGGCCCGTTGGTGACCAAGTGTTTTGTGCTTTTCGAGACGCTAAAAGTCAATTACTCTTCCCCTGTCGTGCCCTCCCGTCCCTCCCTTTGTATCTCCTGCTCACGCCTTATCACTTTCTTAACTCTTCGTTTCCGATTTTCTGCCATCCTCTCTATTTATAACAAACACCGCGAGTCTATTTATGCAAACGTTACCAATAGACCATTTTACAGTTGTCTGCTCAGTGACCTGGCCTTTAAATGGCAGAGAGGCTGCAGGTGACCTTGTTTTGATAAAGACCTCACTGCTTTTGTTGTGTAAATCAAGTTGTTCCTTTGCTAACTAGTTGACATTTAAACTGATGAGAAAAACAGAGAGGTTTTTATCCAAGCAAGGTCACCTATAGCCTCGCTTGAGTTCATAGGTCAGTTAACTAAGAACACAACTGTCAAATGACCTATTAATGAGAATTAGTTTAGCAAAATTGATTGAAAGGGTAATTAACTGTCCTAGGACTACTATGTTTACCGTTGCCTTTGTCGCATTCATAAAGCAATAACCCTTTCTGGACGTCTAAGAGGCTAAGCTTTTCTCGTTGTCCTATACGTACTCCTTTAATTTTTGTGCGCAGCGTTTGCTCGCCCCTCTCTCGAGCAAAGAAGAAAGGACCATAGTGCATCACTGAATTATAATCGTATTTGACACCCAAGGAATCGATCGTCATGAATCTTTCCTTCCTGAAGTGAACTCTACATCCTGTAAACATGTACATACAAAGATAGTACTTCAGGTGGGATGAAACGAAAGAGCCTGAAAGCATTGAACTATTATAAAGCTGGATTAATGTGCGAGAACGTGGCTATATTGGAAAAATGTGTGGATTTTAGTTCTTCGCCTCCAGAGGTTTTGCTCTTATTTATAACATGCTTGTTAGCAATCGTTATGTATAAATTTAAGGCAAGAAGGTCTTGTAATTTCGCTGTCATTTCACACAACCTGAGAACCCGGAATAGGCTTACAATTTAGTGCAACGATTGCAATTCTCAGCAATCTTCTCTCATATATTTGCGGTTGCAATGTGATGTAAAGGAGAAAACCAAACCCGAGGCAATGCAGGTAACAGTTTTAATTTGTGCGTCTTCTTGGATAAGTAGTCAAAGAGCTTTTGGGCGTCACATGCAAAATGACTTTTATTTTATAGATTTTAATCCTAGTGACCTCGATTTGCTTCTAGCGAAACTGATTTACAATTAGTTGTCATAGAAAAAGCGCTAGTTTCAGTGCTAACGTCGTTTATAGTTATCCTATTAATTCTAAGAGTTGAGAGAGCCAATAAGAGTGCCCAAGAGTTTCTCTTTTTTCTTTCTTTTCTTTCTTTCTTTCTTTTTTTTTTTTGTGTACTGGAGTTCCTTCCTCGGCAAACTTCTCGCAGCTCCTCTCATTCTCGTTTGGCTCGGGATTTTTTCCCAGTTTTTCATCATCAACACACGTTATAACGATGATAACCAAATCAAACTGCTATTCTTGCGGCTACTTCTGTCAGAATTGTTCTGTCCCCTCTCGATCTGGTGAGGGTATTCGTTTCCTTCACTATGTACACATCCTGATTGGTACTACTAGTGAGCATGTTACTAGTGTGACACGAATCGCAAAAAACACCTTGTACTTTTACAGTGATTTTCAATATATGCGGTGCTTGATTAGCGAGTGACCAAAGTATGTCATCCTAAAAATAGCAATTACGAACATACCAGGCATAACGTTTTCCCAAACCACTGTGAGGTACTGATCTCGATCAGGTCGGTTGTGCTCGTGGTAGAAGCCAAGCGCATGCCCAATTTCGTGTAATATACTTCCTTTGCTACAGGTGATCGTCACGTTGCTTCCATATGGTGTGGGCGACCTGCACGACATGTCTGCATACTCAGTTCCAACAGAGCCCACAGAAATGACTTGACGACCTCCAATACGACCCATACTTGAGGAGCACCTAGAAGGGAATAATTATAAATTCATCATGAGGTGATTAAAAAAACAAATATTTCATTTGCATCATGAGACTGTGCAGAGCAGCTAGTTAAAGTTGCAACTGGTGTAAAAGTTATGTAAACAATTTCCTCTGTTCTTGAACACTGCCGAAGCCACCAGCAGCTGATTGAATTGCTTTAGGGAGGTATGTGTTTTGTGTTAAAAAGAATCGGCCTGAGCCGATTCTACACATACCATTTCTACACATACCCTCCCTCATATGCAAACTCGATATAATCGTCCTCGTTCTGCCTCTCTTTGAAAACGAGGCACAACCTGTCTTGCCATTCCTTAATAGCTGCGCGAATATTCAACAGAGTCGCTTCCCCTGCAATGAGAAAAAAAAAAACGATTGTACAAAAAATAAGGTTAACCCCATTATTATAATTTCTTCATGATCATTTTGAATAATAATCTGCCCATTCTGTTTTGGCCAGAAAACCTCAAAATAGATTGCTTAGGAAATAAACTTGCATTGACTGATTATAAGATTTTGGGATTCTATTAATGTTCTAAAGAGGAGACTAACTATTGCAGGATACCCCTCTTGTTTATTCCATTTTCAGCTCTATTTCTGGAGTGTTAGTATCGGTCAGCGCAGGGAGATGTTTTCATCGAGCTATCGCGTCTCAAAACGCGCTACTTCCAGCTGAAAGCAATCCGGGTTGGAGATATGACATTAACGTGCATTGTTATATCCTCAGTTACCATTGATTTTATCTCTATTTAGCTAAATAGTGAGTTACCTTTCACTGGAAATGTTTTATCCGTGTCAGTTTCTTGAAAACTTCACACATCACAACACCAACAACATCAACAACATCCCGACAACAACAACAACATCCCGACAACAACAACAAAAACAACAACAACAACACAAGAACTCAATTTACCGTGACATACTGAAACCGTGACGTCTTTCATAGTGTTTATCAGATGCAGTTGAAGAAATCAAAGTTAATTTACTGACCTAAACAGCTAAATTGATTTCTTCTTTATATATCTGGAAATAATTAGTTCTTCTTACGCATCCTTGTGGTTATGGAGTATGGAATTGTGTTGTTGGGCCATAGTTGTCGAAAGCCAGTGGGCGCCAAATCCTTGCCCTGTGAGTTACCGTCTTGCCAAATGTTTTGAATATTTTTTCTTTGCTCCTCTGTCAGTACCATATCACCTTCAAAGTATTCCTTTCCAAGGTTCAACTCTCCAAATGTTTCTTGTCCACCCATCAGCATATGCCAACAAGAATAAGACATAGACATGAACTCAGTTTAAGCAGCGGAGACAGTTTTTGTACTGAGGTACCTGTATGGAACTTTTAGAAAAACTTCAAAACCAATTTATTACTCTGATTGTCTTGTTTCATTTAATTTTTTTCTGAGTTGACCTAGGCTGAGAAGCTCTTTTATTCCTTGCCTGGCAGCTAGGGGTACTCATTTTAGAGTGTATCTTAGTTTCAGACTAAAGCCGGTACATTTGAAAATAAGGCGATAGATGGAGAATAGACTAAAAGGCCACGGACAAAAATGCTATAAAAGGTCGATCACCGACCGACCGACTAGAAGGCCGACCTACCAACCGACCAAACGAAGGAACGAATAAACCAATGAATGAACAAAAGAACGTCGAACGCTCCCAAAAGAGTTACTGGCTAGCGATCCACAGCCCAAAGTTTTCTTTTTTCTGCAGCCTGCTTGAGGTATTGATGAAAAGTGTGTAAAAGTGGTACGGCAAATTTTAGACTTCAGCTAAGTGGCACCCCTCCCCACCTTCTTCTTCAAAGTCATTTTCCACGTCTAATCAATAAACGAACGAGGAAACGCATACATGACTATGGGCGGACGGTGGACGAGATCTTGACGGATAGTACACTAGTCTGTGGATGCCCGGACACCGTTGATGGATATATACTGGCAGGTGGATAGACCGACAGTTTAATATGTACGAATATAATTAATAGACCGACAGAAAGATATGGATGTTAGATGTTCTTAGTAAGAAAAATCGAATATTAGGAGTCTTGGTGTTTATACTTTTCTAACCTCGCATTTGTTGGTCATACAGCTCAAACATCATGGGATCCGATTCTTCAATATCTTGATCGATGTCTGAAATATCGAAGAGAATTGTAAATAAAACTGAGGATAAAGAATATCATACAATTTTTTGGCTAATGAATTGGAAAGTACCCGGGGATAAAAGAAAGCCTTTCCATGATGGGAGAAACCGTTTCTATAACCTCGGTTTTCAAGCTTGAATTAGTCAAACTTACCATCTTTTACTATGGAAGCCAGTACGGTGCAAATTAACACAGAGGACACTACTGCAGTGGTTAAATGTAGTGTCATTGTTTCACAACATGGAAGCCAGTGCGGTACAAATTGACTCCGTACATAGAAGAAAATTGAGGACTATCTTCTTGATATTGATATCATATATTTCACTGTTAACGAGACTGCACATGGCAGACTTGAGGGGATGCATATAAATGGGAGTTCTGGTACCTGATTGAAAAGCTGTCAGTTCATTTGAAAATTAAATCGTGATAACCAAATACAGGAAACGAAACAATCTAGTGAATCTAGTGGCACTCAAGAGCTTTTGAAAAACAGAACTGGTATCAAAATTAATTTCTAGAGCCGCGCTTAATTTTCATTCTTACATGTACAAGCAGTGTTTCAGGTCATATTCTAACACCGACGGATTTAAAGAGCACACAATACTTTACTTAAATTCTTGTAGATTCTTTATCGTTTTTCTTAATGTAAACTCCTTTTGTTTCGATTAATAATTATTGCCATTGTTCTAATTTCATTGCAAGAACGAGTTCTTCTTTTTGTCGTACAGGTGTTACAAAGCGTTTCATTTGCATAGCACAAAAATAGTGCATCTCTGTTTCGCTTGGTGGTTACTGGATCCGGCCAGTGGGTGGATGGTGAAGTATATGCCTCTTCCGTTGGGGAATCAGATTTTTTTTTCTTTTTCATCCCACACCCAAACAGCCAATTTGTTTATTTTAAAGTGGCTATTAGATTTCCAGAACAATCATGGCAAATAAATTTATCAACCAAGCATTCAACGGCAAATCATTGGGTCTTGCCTTTTTAAACCTGTCAGTCAAAGTCTCATTCTGGAAAGATTGAAAATTTTAGCCCACTGATCAGGACTTGGGTCAGGTCTGACTGTATTCTGGAAATTAACTTGGCAATTTCTAGCTGGGAGTAGCTGGGTACCTCATCTGCAACTGGCAAATTAGATATGAATTGCATTAGAACTTGCGCAAAGGCCACTCAATACTGTAGACCGCGTGCCACGATCTCGTGTACTCTATGAATTATCAGAGCGAGATGAAAAGTTGGTCGTCAGCCTCTTTGATTGGTCACTTTTGTCTTCCTGAGAACCTCGAACGCACAGAACAATTCTGATCACACTACAGATAGTTTACCTAAATCACAAAGGTTTCAAATGGTAAACCTGTTTTTGAGAGACAGTTACAATAGCAGCTAAGGTCGTCCTTCGATATTTCTCGAAGACTGATTCTGCTAATTCTTTGTTTGCTGATAGACGTGTTAAATAGAGATTGACCAAAGAACAGGTACTAATTAAGGCATCTTAAAGCGTATCAGTAATCCTTTTATCTAAGGATCATCATTTCGAATTCTCTGTTGGTTTACAGAAGTGGTGGAAAGCTATCTCATGCATAGCGTTAGTTTCAGTAGTTCAAATTAAAATTCATAGCCTGGGTATCTGGCTTTTCTAAAGAAAGGCGGCAGGGGAAGGAAAAAAGAAGAGGGAAAGAAAGAAACGCCGTTTTCCTCTTCTTTCCTCCTGCACTCTCGCCTCTCTGTTGTGAAGGTCGATACTCAGGCTATTAGTAAAGTTCATTAATGGCAAGTCATATCAGCAACATCTTAACAGCCTTCCCAAGTACTTTTGTCATCTGTTGTGGCCGAACAAAGTCTTTTGCAGTCTGGATCCTATTCCCTACTGCTGCAAAGGGTACTATCTGGCTTCTAAAATACGTTATTTTTCTGATGAATCTCGTAGAACCCGCCTACAGAGAAGGAGCCGTTTACATGAACAATCTACTTTTTAGTGATCACTGCTCCTAATTTTAATCAATTGATTATTTTAACTCTATATAATGAAATGCTTTTCCGTTATGAGCGGTAGCCAAGAATGAAAGTAAAATGTAAGTATACCCGAAATACATTACCCAGATTCAGCGGGAAACTATCACTGAAAGATTCCAATTATAAGAAATATACAAGAATTTAAATTCAGTAGCTTTTAATTACACTGAGCGCGAAATACACTTCACAACAAACAAAAGATACTTCAAAATGTCAGTCCATGCTCTGAAGGCAACTTCTAAACTAGCTTATTGTAATTAGTAGTGAAACAAATTGGAACTACCCACTGTGGAATCTACTGGTCTCTTTCTCTTCTTGTCTAGTGAGTAAATAATAGAAGCATAACCTCAATAAACAGCACAAAAGTGAGACCAGATTAAACTGTATCCTCACCAATTCGTTGGTCTGTCCATTATTCTCTTATTTGTTTGTATTTGTTTGTATTTGATATAGGTGCATTTATAACTAGCCTTAAACAAATTAAATTATATATCTATAAATAAATGAGATGCGTTATATACCAATCAGTTACTACTGACTAGAGTCAGTTAAATCCTTTCTGTAAGAGAGGCGTGTTGTAAAGTTTTTACGTATTGTGTGCCAGACGACTTGTCCAAATTCACTGTTTTTCTAAAAGCGTTGGCACGACGTAAATACGCTGGCTGGTGTGCTTCTGACTGTTTTAACCAGTCCCAAATTCGCTTTTTGGTTTCTTTGTATGTTGGATCTCGGTATTCCTCGGGTAACTTACATTTTACTTCTATTCGAAGGTCTTGTTTGGTGCATGTAACCAGTCCGGCTTTGTTCTCCACAAGCCCTTCGTTTTCCTTATGTGTTGTTAAACCACTAGCGGCACCGTTCTTGATAGCTATGTTTCCACCTCGCGCGTTACTGTACATTGGTGGAAGTTTTGTCAGAGGGCGAATTTGAGACACCTTTTTCCCGGATTCCGTTAGTGGCTGGTTGCTCGAGAACATTGTAAACTCACAAATAGATGGAAGTGTAGGGAAAGCAATTATTTCTCTGCTGGTAGTGCGAGTTTCAGCTTGTTCCAAATCTGTTTCCGGCAAGGCAAATTCGACACGTAATGGCCTCGCATTCGACGATTGTTTGATGTGCAATAAATCTCCTTCCGCGCACGGTGTAGAGTAGAATGAAAAATTCCCTAATTCCTGTCCTGTTTTCTTTGGAAGTTTACTCTCTGGCGACATCATTCAATCATAAACCAGTAGTCATTGCTGAAGCCCCAACGATACAAGTGTTTGACCGACGCAAAATCAAACTGTACTTTTCTACTTGGTGACAAAGGAGGCGCAAACAATAGAGGCTGATCTCTAAGAAAACAGGATTAAAGGTGCTAACAATTTAGACAATGAACAATAGGCTGGTCCCACAGGAGCAAACTGTTTGTTGACAAAGTGAGAAAATTAATTAAACAACCAGTTCACCTCGCCATGAAAACGGCGGAGTTTGACTAAAAAGTCGATATGGTTTGATTTCAATTAGGTATAGGTTCTTTTACGAGAGAGTGATGTTAATATAACCCATGCATTGGACTGACTCAGAACGTAACGTTGGTCAGTGTCTGTTTGCTCACCTGTCACTTAAAAGATGTTTATAACAAGAAACTACTATTTTTGTTTTTGCGAAATTTTTTTTATTATATTCAGAATTTATTTTCAACAAGTCCGACGAGAGGGGGCTGCCGAAACGAAATTTTGTACCAGAGAATTATTTTGTTTAAGATATTTTCATTATACTTTTCGCCACTCATACACAACTTCCCTACTTAACCGCTGGCTGCAATAAGTGCGGGTTCATTCTGCCACTTCAAAATGGAGAATGTGAGTTCCCCTGTGACAGCGTTGGGTTTTATACCCACGTTTTCTGCGAACCAGGAATCGGATGGCGATAAAACAAGCTTTGAAACGGCTGCATCGTCAGTGAATTGTTTTGCTGAGGTTGTTGTGACTCAAAATTACTCCGATATCTCAAGGTGTGTGTTTATATATTTGGTCTATTTGTTGGTTTTTAGCATATTTTGTTCTGTAGCTTTGCTAAACTGTATGAAAGGTTTTGCAAAGTATTAAGCTTAANATGTAAGTGTTGTTTTGAGCAATTGAGCATTTTTACAAAAATAAAGCTTCTCATAAACAGAGACAGCTCAGTTGTTGTATCCTGTCATTGTTTTACTTTTTAAGTATAATCTGCCTTCGTAACAAATATAATGTCTTTTATCGAAGTACTGGTAAGGTTGAGACTTTGTTTATTTCGTGCTCTGTTCTCTGATAAAGCACGCTATTTCAGCCAATCAGAGTGCACGTTATATGGAAACTTTATTATAAAACTATATTCAATGCAAGATTTGATTAAAAATAGAGTAACCTCAAGATGCTGTACATGTTTCATATTCAGTATTGGCTGGAGTTATGTACAATTGTTTTTCAGTCCTTTCATCCCAGTTTGGTGGAGTAGATGTAGTCACATTTTTAGTGAAGCTATATTGTGAAAGTCAAGTAATAAAAAAAAAACATTGTTTAGATCACTTCTGATGAAAATAAGAAATTGTAAGTGTAAGGATAGAGAGGCACACAAATACTTAATCATGGTCAATGATATAATCAACATAATAAAATTAATTTCCTTACAGAAAATAATTAAAACAATTCATTCAAAGACAATGAAATAGAAGAGCTAAACAGCATTTTTCAACCTACATGTATTAGCTAGTTCTAAACAGGTCTACATACTGTACACCTTTAACATGCAGCATAGACATGCCCCTCCAGTCATAAATTGTGTTTTCATTTAACTCCAGTTTTTTTTTCTTTTGTTTCTTTGCTTTTTGTTTAAGGAGTGTTGCAATACCAGGCAACAGAGTAGCGACATTTGCTGTTAGTTCAAGTGGTGCTCTGGCCTGTCCAGGTATGCATGCATGTAAATAAAAATTTGTTTTATTTTATGTTATCCATCACAATTGGATATTTATATTTTCGCTACTTCTATGTACAGTGTATGTCTGACCTGACTGTGTTCAATTCATGTAGCTGGGATCCAGTCAAGTTCACTTATATGTTTATTGATTAATTTCATAATTAACTCCCTCCTCCCAAACAATAACACTAAAAGCCAACTCATAATTATTCAGTGAAGAACATCATATGCTGGTAAACACTTTAAGACTTGTAATTTCTCATTTGGATTATTGTGATGGCATTCTATATGGTATCCCAAATGCCAAAGGGATAAGCTTCGACGGATTCAAATTACTGCAGCGTGCCTTGTGACAGGATCGAAAGGTTCAAACCACATAACACCGCTATCAAAAGACTTGCACTGTCTTTCAGTTGAGCAGAGGATTGATTGTAAGATTCTACTTACAACTTATAAGATCTTGCATGACCAATCCGCTAACTAACTGAAACCTCTCATTAAGGAATACCATCCATCGCGTGATTTACGATCTACATCACGCTCGTCGCTTGTCAAATGGTTAAAATGGACACTTATGGTGCAAAGCCTTTTCTTTTGCCACACCTAATTATGGAACTCTATTATTCCAAAAGACATTAAGGAAGCTAATGCTGTGGAAAGTTTTAAAACTGAACTGAAGACCAATTTTTTTAAGGAAGTTTTACTGTTACTTTTCGTAAGTAATTGTTTAGTTATTTTAGTTAGTTATTTTTGTTCCATTTATTTAGTTAGTTATATATTGTTAGGTGCACTGAGTTAAGAAATGCACCCTACAAAAATGTAAATATTATTATTATTATTATTATTATTATTATTATTATTATTATTATTATAACTATTATATACATTACACATGTACAAGTCACCAACTGAGGTAAAATAAACACAAAATAACACAACTTTTATCCATACATACTAGTTATGCAATGCTTTTGAGTGGTATACCATGGATTATCTTACAAGTCACTTGTATTCTTGGTATGCACACAAGCCTTTACACCGACCCTGAGGGAAAATGCTGGCCAACAATATTGTTTTGCTTTTAACTTAGCCTAAATTACATCTAGCCACATTAAATAACTTAGAGCCCTTTGGGTTAATCCTTTTTTTGCTTAATGTGGCAATTCTTTTCCAAATTAAGGTGGAGTGCTCAATAGCCAAGTTGCAGTTGTCACAGTTCCCGAAAGCCAGCTGTTTGCTGTTCAGCAGTCTCAACAAGCTGATTCTGTCCAACAGGAAACTGACTTAACCAGTGAAGACGATGTTGCATCTGTCACAGGCAGTGCGTCAAATGTCAGTCATCCAAATGAACTGACAATAAATGTTACATTACAGCCTCACTCTGGTTCTTTGTCTGAAGATGGAGTGTTGCCTGAAGGGGCACCAAGCAGCACACCTGGTGATCCAAAGGTAACTTACAGTACATGTACTGAGTCATTTACTTTAAGCCCCCTATGGGGCATTTTGTTTTAAATTTACTGATTAATAAATACATTATGGGTAGTGCACTGTCTCATGTACAGTACTGTACATGTACTGTGACTCCAAAATTCTGGTACAAACTACAACTGTAAGTCAGAATAACATGCACTTACTTGTACAGGCTAATCTGTTTTATCCTGATAATAACACTGTTATCAGACACAAATCAGTTTGTATTCATTCATTAGAAATACTTGTCTAGTGAATGAATTAAAAGACAGTGTTAATATTGAAGAAGAATTTATTCATCTGGTTGAAAAAGGTTAACTTATCGATGAATAATCTTTGATCTTAAGTGAATGGCATATACATGTATGCTGTAAACCTGCAATGTATACAGTACTTCCCAAGTGAACAAACAACTTCTGTTGAACTTCCACCAAAAATTCCTTGCACTTTTGTGCATGTGCAGGCTATCATGCAGAGAGTTCTGCTTTAATGACTTTATTTACTGAACAGATGTAAAATATTCATTTCCAAACCATTCGCTATTTTTGCCTTGAATTTTATGTTAATTTAGAAAAGGTTATCTATGAAATGAAAATAATACAGTCAAGTACATACAGATAGTATTGAACAGGATGCAACCTGCATATTTATTATTTAATTAAAATACAGTGCAACTTGTATTAGAGATGTTTTTAGGATGATTAGTACATGTAGTTATATTTTCTTAAACATTGTAATGTGCAGCTGAAAATGTTATATTGATATCTGCACAATATAAGTTAATCATTATTATTATTATAATAAACAATTATTGGATGAAGTTTTTGTGATATCCAGCATAATCAAGATCTCGGTAGTGGTTATCAGCCTCAGCCTTCGGCTTTGGCTGATAACCCTTGCCTTGACCTTGATTATTCTGGATATCACAAAAACCGAATCTAATAATTGTTTTATTAGACATTGAACAAAAAAAATGGAAGTCATTTTTTGCTTCTTCACTGACGGCAAGCAACACAAAGTGTGCGAACTTGACATGATTACCCTTTGAAATCATGCACCGCTGTCATACATGACATGATTATCGTGACCTTGAGTGTCCTTGACATGATTATTGTATAATCTGCAGTTACATGTATGACGTCACAGGCATTGATTTCAAAAATTCACTGTATGCTTTCAGCCAATCAGAAAAGAGATAGTGAGTTCAATGTATAATAATATTGTTTATTCAATGACTGAGAAAATAACTTCATTGTGAATGGCCGAGAGCAGGCCAATTTATCGTCAATTCTTAATTTGCACTGCAGATCAAAGTAACGTGCGTGCAATCTCAATCATATAATTTAAATTAGTAATTGTCTGGAAGCTCGAGTAATTAAGGATTTACACTATTTATGATATTTGAAAATTCTTTCAAATTGCACAGGCCTAAAGGCTTGAGCAATTTTGAGGGAATTTTCAAATATCACTTACAGTGTTAAGTCCCTAATTGCACTTGCATTCATATGGTTACCTGTACAATTTTTTTTTGTCTTTAATGTGCAGTTATTTATATGTGTAACTTATATTTTATAGCAGAAACGAAAAGGGGGTTGGCCAAAAGGGAAAAAACGAAAGAAGGAATTTGCAGATTTGAATAAACCAAAAGCCCCAATTACTGGGTGAGTTTATCAAATATTATTTTTATTTATTGAGTTTTTTTTTTTCCAAACACAACCTTAACTGACATGTAATCACCTTTACATGTATACAGAATGTTGTGAGCCTGCAGTGGCTATCAATATACATACAGTATTAATAATGATTGCATGCGTTCATTGTGTTGTGATGTACCACTGGAACTCTAAATACTGTACATGTGGAACATTGGTGTTTATAGTCCAATGGGACTGACAAATGCAATCAAACATTGTAGCCATTTATCCATTTCATAAAGTGTATACATGTACATTTTACTATTGATTGAGTGGATGTATTTTGTGCATGATCATGGCAGACAACATATGCCAGTGCACAAGCCATGTGATTACATTGTGCACATGTCATACATATGTCATATGTAGTAATAATGATAATAATGATAATAATAATAGTAATAATATTAATAATAGTAATGATAGTAATGATAACAATGATAGCAATGATAGTAATGATAGTAATGATAGTAATGATAGTAATGATAGTAATGATACCAATGATAGTAATAATAGTAATGATAGTAATGATAATAATAATAATAATAATAATAATAATAATAATAATAATAATGGTAATGGTAATAATGGTAATAATAATAGTTTATTTATATAGTGCACACATCCATTATTTGCCCAAGGTGCTATGCCAGACTATCCCTACAAACTAAAATGTTACTCTAAGAAACTTAAAAACTAAAAAACTAGGAAAATACCCCCCTCCCAAAAACAAAAAAAATAAGAAAATAAATAAATAAATAAAAATATGATAGTCATTCTTAAAAAAATTAGTAAGAAGTAAGGGCTTGAGTTTTTTTCTTAAATAATAAAACTGTACTGAATTGATGTATTTCCAAAGGATCTATTTCCAAGTAGCTTGATACGGGGCAAGATCTGTAGAAAAACTGACAGAAGCTAATGAAGTTGACAATGAGTTAGTGCAAAAAAAGAGTCTAGGTTTCTGGATGGTTTGTGACGTCATGTTGGATAGCATCAAGTCCCAAGAGTTCCTGTCACTGTTATTTCAGTGGTGGTGAGGAGCTTTCGTCAACAAAAAACAAACAAATGAAAGTTGGCAAAGCAATGCGATCATCAAGCAAGTAGAATAAAAACATGAAGCTTTGAGATGTTCCTGAAGTGAAGATTCACCAATCTTTCATTATGCAGTCAACTTCATTCGGCATGGCTGGAGTGGGATTTAAAGCTTCTTTTTAAGGCAAAAAAGCATCAGAATCCATTTCTTTTGGTTTGAATACTTTTTTAGATGTTATAGAGATACCAAAACCACAATAATCCCGTTGGCCATATGGACACTTTAACAAACACAGAAATGTTACAAATCTCTTGATAACTTGATCCTTTGGGATTACAAGTAGTTGTGAGTAGTATTCAGTAGCATTCAGTAGCTTTTTTGTTTTACCTTGAAAATTATCAAATTATCACTGCAGAACTTTATAAACTGGGAAATCTCTAATATGCCATTTGATCAAAGTTTTCCTCTTAAGGTAACTTATAAATCGGACCCAAAAAGCAAATACTAAAACAAATACTATATTCAATAATAATAAAAGCAACAATGTTCTGCAATGCAACAACAATCTCACTCAATTGTGATAGTATATTTTCTATGCATTGCACAAGTAGTTTTCTATTTGTACATGTAAACAGTATTTTTTAAATGTAACTACTTTTTTCTGGCCTGAAGTTTACCCAAAATGATTTTTTTGTATTTGGAAAGTGCATTGTTGATTATTGATATACCTGTGCAGGTATGTGAGATTTATCAACAGTCGTCGAGCTGAAGTGAAGCAACAACATCCTAATTTACTGTTTCCTGAAATAACAAAGATACTTGGACTGGAGTGGAGTAATCTTCTTCAAGAGGAGAAGCAGGTAAGAAAAATTTATACCAATACATACATGAACTCACAAATATTAACAGACTGGTTATATAAATAGGGTCTTTAAATAATCAAATAACTGACTGAGCTTTTGTTCAGGTTAGAATAAAGTGTTCATAAAAAAAGGGTGGGGGGTTCCACTGCACATGTACGCCCTTTAGGAACATAAACAATTGTGTGTTAAATCATTTGATTATAAGTTATTGTTAATGCTATTGCTATTGCTATTGCTGTCGCTATCGTTATCGTTATCATTATTTCTTTGTTTGTTTTTTCGATTTGTAATAAACATGTACAGTCAAACATCACTGAATCCTCTGTGAGGGGCAGAGCTAGAGTGTACATAAATTCAAGAGTGCTCAAAGATCAGTACAAGGAATTCTGGTTTCAATTCTTCTGCACCAACTCAGCTCTGCATAGTAATTATTGTAAGAGGAGCCCACATGGATTGTTTTGATTGCACATGTACATGTAGAAATTGAAATCTGATGTGCCATGTGCCAACTGATTATCAGCAAAAAGCTATCAATTTAGGAATTAGGAAGGGTAATATTTATACAAAGTCAAGATTTTAAAGAAAACGACAGTACTTTTAAGTTTGAAAGAAATGTTTTGATAGATCTCATCTTCAGTTGATTGATGTACAAAGCCTTGGAAGTTGAATTTATAATAAGTAGAGAGATGCTAATTGTGATGAATAGTGACAACAAAATGAAGCAAAGCATCAAAGGATTATAAGGATAGTTTTAGATTTACACGGCTTTGCTTCACTTTGTTGTCACTATTCATCACAATTAGCATTTCCCTACTTATTACAAATTCAATTCACAACGCTTTGTACATGAATCAACCGAAGATAATAGTAGATGTAGGCTCTGTCGAGACATGTCTTTCAAACTTAAAAGTTTTGTCGTTTTCTTTAAATTCTTGACTTGCCTGCTATTATCAAGACCCTTTAATACAAAGTACAAGACAGTACTTTTGTGCTTAGGATTTGAGGTTAAAGTAGACCACCCATTTTTTCCTAGAATATTTAAAAATCCTTTGCTTTTCATTTTTGTTTTGGCTTTTTGAACCTAAAGAAATACCTGGATGAAGCAGAAGAAGACAAAAAACGCTACATTGAAGAGCTTAAAATTTACCAACAGTCTGAGCAATACCAGGCATTTATGAAAAGTCAAAATGCTAAGAAAATCAAGACCATTGTTGGTAAGCCACAGTTAATATAAATTAGTCATGAAATATTAATAGTGTGTTCCAAATCTAAGCTGTCATTAGGTTGGCTTAGTCATTGATAATTGCAGTCGAACCATTATTAAGTGGCCACCCTTGGGAATATCCAGAGGTGGTTAATGTTTTTCTTATTTGCAAAATACATAATTATTTACAATACGGTACTCTACTGTCTACAATTTGCTACGATCTCAATATCACTCTACGTTTAGAAACTATACTTACATTACTTTCAGAACAATACTAGAACAATGTACGTATTCTTACTCTACTTACATTTGTACGACACAATACTTACTCTGCTTGTAATACAATACAGTATTCTACTCTATTTACAGTATGGTACAATACATTGTACTTGTACTTACTTTACTTTATTACAATTAAGTACAGTGCTCTCTACATGTAGTACAGTACAATATGTACTCTACTTACAATACGGCTCGATTCTTATTCTACTTTTAATAAGATACAATACTAACTCTATTTTGATACAATTCTTGTGACACAATATTTACTCTACTTACATTTCATTTCAATACGCTACAATACAATACACTACATGGTGTTGCATTACATGGCATTACATGACAGTACAATTCGATACATTAATAGCATGACGTGACATAACAGTCTGCTACAAATGCATTTCAAAGGGTAAATAGGAATACCCCCGTACTCATATAATAGACCATGCAGACTGTGCAGACTGAGTACTTGTCTTTCTTACTCTTGATTTTTGCATTTACTTTTGACTCGCATATTTTTTGGTTCTCTTCAATTATGTATCGGAGTGTTTGTTATCCACAGGCCGCGCGAACTCGGTGGTATGTGAATGTTGATGTTCTATAGATTTTGCAAAGCAAACTCCCTTTAATATGCTTAAATGAAGCTATTTTAAAATGTAGAAATAAACTTCACTTGTAATGTAATGTCACAGGTAACATGTGCATTTTGTACTCAAGGTGTGCAAAATGTAATTCCAAATGGCTGTTGGAACGTGACTGCGATCACGCCAAAAAAGTATAGCGCATGGAAAGATCACAGAAAACTGAATAGCATTTGAAATTCTCTGCGCAGCACGGTTGCCGTGATGAGTTGATGCGATGATTAATTTATCTGTCCATATGGCAGTTGTGTTTTCATGGCGATTTAGACTACGAGTGATCCTTGTTTCGCTTAGTCAATCGTGCGTGACGCATAAGAAAACCTCGAGGAAAAAATTTCATGCGAGGATTTTTTTCCTCGAGGTTTACGGTCACGCTTAACTAAGCAAAAGAGGAAATACTCCTAGTCTAATGGCGATTCTGTACTTTGTGAAGCAAAAGCGATTTGTGGGACAAGGTCGCTTGGAATCACCGTCCTTGCCTTTTTTTTATGAATCAGTTAAGAGGAGAATGAAGACTAAGAAAATCGAAAAAAAAAAAGACAAAAAAAAGACAAAATAAATAAAACCACAAACCCATCAAAAATTGATGCAATTTGCGCCCAGAATTTATGTAAGTTTGTTTTTATGCTTGATTATAGTATATTTAGGACCAGTAAAGGGAATTTCCCATAGAAAGTCCATTAATCGCGTGAATCAACAGTCAGATGTTGAGTTTGTGCCGCCTGTGGATAAATAACAAACATTAGGACATATTGAACACTATTTTGTCACTAGAAACGAAAAAAGTGAGTCAAGTGTTAGAAAAAAAGTAATCGCTCTGCACGGTCTGCATGGTCTGCACGGTCTGCAATCTGCAGTCTGCACAGGGTCCGAAATTAACTTTTTTAGGCAGGCGCCAACTGGCGACTGAAATTTTT